TCAGCAATCTTTGCAATTATAATTTAAAGTATGCAGGTACGGTTCCCCCATTTTACAGATACGCCAGACCTCACAGAAAGGGATCCATTTCTTCCCTGCCTCTGACTTTGTGATGTTTCTTCCACCTTCATTTATACTCGAAGGCTTCATGCGCAACAAGGGTGGAAGATGTAATCTTCCAGGAAGTTATTTTAACGACACAAGATTCACACGCTGGCACTGACTGGCCATTCTCCGTTTCCCCTTTAGAGGGCGCTCTGCTGCCAGCCTCGACAAGGGCGTCTCTTATTTCATTTTTCTAGAGGCTTCAAGCCATGTTCCAAAACATGTGCTTGCTTTTTAGTGTGTTTTGCTTTGCTAATTAGGGGATTAAGTAATCTTTGGCTGCCTGACAAAAATGCGCTGAGTTATAAATATGTCTGAATGTGGGTTTAGCATATTATTTGCATTCTTTATTTTTATTTTATTTTCATGTTTGTGGGGAGGGAATTCCAGTTCAGTATTACAGCACTGCTGGAGGGCAAACCTTGTAACCTTTCCATTTAAATGGTTATTTCTATAAAGAGGTGGTTGTAACCTTGGTCATAGGTTGCTGTAAAGACATGCACAACCCTTTCCATTGCTGTTGCTGCTGATTGTGTTGTTGTTGTTATTTATATAGGAGAGAAGTGGCTAAGCTTTCTTTCACCTGGCTCACCCTTGCCCAGTCCTCTGGGATGCCAGTGGTGGGTGTGGCCAATAGTGGGTGTGGCCACAAGGGATGAGTGAACCCGTGAAATACATTTTCTATCACTTTCCATTTTTCCAGTTCCATTCTCCACATTTCCAAATCAGTTTGCAATTAAGAAGAAGAAAAATCCCATGAACATCCACTCATTCATTCAGTATATAGCCCTATACCCACAGGTCTCAGGGAGGTTACAACATAAAATCACAATATATAAACACATTTTAGTGTGAATTTCTCCCAGTTTTCACATTTGGACATGCAATGTGGCCTAATATATTGTATTTACTCAAGTCTAATGCACCATCAAATCTAATGCACACCCCGATTTTCAAAACCTTGAAACAAAAAAAAGAGAGGATTTGCTGGTGAATGTAAATGTGCCATCAGATCTTAATAGCACCTTAATTTTCACAACGTGATTTGGCCGAAAAAAGGAGCGCATTAGATCCGAATAAATACAGTATTATTTTTTTTGCAAAGCATCTTCCTCTAATATAATGCATTTTTGTATGCTATTTCCTTAATATTTACTTTATATGCAAGTTCAGCATGGCACAGGAAATTTCGTAAGCATTATTTGGGACTCAGCTACATTAGTAAAAAAAAACCCCATCGTTTTGAATGCTTTTTAAACATGCAACACCAGATGGTGCTGGAGACCAAAAAAAAAAAGTTGTTTGTGATTTTCCATGGTAGTTTTTTTCCATTTGTTAAAATGATTTAATTTCTGACTTTTTTAAAACAATTTTTTTTTGGCTCAGACAACTGCATTGCAAAATTCAGGGAAGTTTGAGTTTTGAAAGGCGGCTGTGTTTCGGATCATGTATTGTTTCAGAAAGTGCAAATGAAGCAGGTTCAGCTTTAAGTGTGAACTAATCTCTTCTCCCTCAACACTATTGATCACCCAGCACTCTCCCATGTGCACCCACCTGCACAGACAGAGCCCCCCACAGCTGATCTGTGCAGATCTGATGAGCAGGAAGTTCAGAATTCGCACCCCCCTCAGGGCACTGGCCTGGGAAAAGATATTCAAGTGCCTCCAACAACCACAGCACCATGTGCACTTTATTTCTCCCTGCCTCTGTGCTGCCTCCTCCAACGTTTTGGGGGTCCACAAAAAATTACTTGGGGGTAAAGATCAGGCCCTCAGATTGGGAGTGAGACATCCCTGATTTAGGCTTTTGGTTAATATCCACCCAAGATTGCCAGATCAAGATCCTGAGGACATTTTTGTTCCTTAATGAGACACGTAAAAGAGAAGAAGCAGTTAGTGGTAAGATTCATAGGGCTGAATTCAGCCAATGAGTCCTGCTAGTGGAAGCTAGTGCAAGGAGTGCAAGGAGTTCCACTAGTGCAATGGGGTTTTTCACCCCATCTCTCCCCCCCGTGAACCCCCATGCCCCCCTGTCAGGGAACTGACATCGGAGCCGAGTGGAGAGGTTAGGCTCCCTAATGATGCCGGAGAGGGAACCAGTAAAGGAAGAGAGAGAGCTTCTGCTGGGGAAGGAAGTCAAGGTGACACCAGGAAGAAAGGAAAGGCAGAGAGCATTTCGGAGGGGAGGCTCCGAGACTCTTCCAGTGAGGTCAGTGAGGAGAGTGGAGGACCACCCTGGTCGCCCTCTGCGCACCGCTGGTACGCCCACTCTGCGCAGAAGGCTTCCGCACAGAGAGGTGCGGAGGAGGTTGTCCGTTAAGGAATTCTTATGTTGGAAGAAGTTTAGGAAACGCCCACTGGCAGATTCTGCCAGCGACTGAAGCAGCCATGCCAAGGGGCTGCTCAGCCTGGGAAAGGCGCAACCACCAAGCAGTTTGGAGGTTTACACACAAGCAACCCCAATTCCCATTACACTCCCAAAATTGGCTTGTGCTGGGGTTCACGAGAACCCCGGAACAGCCTTCGAGGATGGAGAGGCAGGATTGTTCCAATGGGCAAGCTGAAATTATTGTGCTGACAGAAGGATCGCTGCAGTGCTATCTTGCAAACTTCCCTTAGTGTCTAGTTCCAGCCAGTTTCCTGCTGCAAAAAGTGCCCTAGAACCAGAGCCATAGCTAGGTGATCTTGCGCCCCTGGCAGAACTGTCCAGATTGTGCCCCCTAACCACTGGCAAATTACCGGTAGCTCTTCTTTCCGCCTCTCCTCCAACCCTCCCCCCCATTCAATTCACTCTCTATTAAAAACCCTTTCTTATGAAGCAATAATCAATATTTTTATTTATAGACCTATTTACGGACATATTTTTTAGCCCATTTTGCATGCCCCCCCATGCCTGCGCTGATGGCGGGGGCCCACCTCGCTACCCCCTAGCTACGGCCCTGCCTAGAACATATCTGGTATCAGGGCTTTGCCATACAGATTATGATCTGCAGAGGGTGCTCTCAGCTGAATTTAGAGACTGTGATTAGAGGTGAAACAGAATGAGAAATTCTACTTTGAAAACTTGTAAAGGAGTTCTGTACAATAAAACTGAGCGAACTACGCCAAACAACTGATTCAAAGATAACTGAAGGTAACAAGCTCATGAGTGTCCAACTCAGCATGGAATTTTAAATGATGAGAATTGGCCTGAGAGTCTCACCCACCTTCCACATATGCATAAATACTAATTGTAGTGAATACTGTACAAATTTCATCCCAGGAATTTTCTTTTAAACTCTTATGTGTTTGGGGATTTTTTTTTTTTTGCTAGACAGTCTCATCCTAGTTTATAAACTAGGCCCTGATCTACAGAGCATAGCTGAGAGTATAATGTACATAGACCACACCAGGAAGATGGAAAAATAGCTGGTTTTATTTCTTGGTTTGTTTTGACACAGTTCTCAGTCTGGTTTCCATTTTGGAATTATTTCCGTAATCACAGGCACAGAGCATGCTCAGTTCCAACTTTTCTAAAGATTCACTTTTCCCATTTGCCCACTAGGTGGTGTCCACATAAACCTATCGTATAGAGAGTTCCTTTTTTTAAAAAAATGTATTTTTATTAAAGATTTTCTTGGTTTACAAAAGTATGTGCAATCTCAATCTCTCTTTCAAGTAACATTTTTTACAGATCAGTTTTGTTTGTTGAGACATTAGGAAGAAAAGGGGGAGAGAGGTGGAGGGGGGAGAGGTGAGTGGGGGTGGGGTCTACTTTACTTAATATATGTGGGGTTTTGTATCAGCGTCGCTTGGGCAGGTTCTGTGCTGTTCACTTGTGTTCCTTTGGTGGTGAGAGAGGTTGGGGTTGGCCTAGGGTGTGGTTGTTCATTTGTGATTGGCTGTGGTGATCTTCGTTTTCAAGTGCGAGTTGGGTGGGTGGGTGTTTTGAGTCAGGTTAGCCATACTGATTTGTATGCTGTTGGTGGATTTTTGTCATTGTCTTGTTGAGCTGTGTATGTGATGAAGGAGAGTCATACCGGGGTGAAGGCATATTTAAACCATCTGCCTTGAGGGACAGAAGAACACCAGTCCTTTCATTTAAAAGACCAACCCATTCTAACAACCTCAAGATGGGGCTGGTAGAAACAAGTCGAGGAACTGCAGCTACCCACTCCAACCACTTGGAGGAGGCAAAGATTAGTTGTCCAAGTTTGCATTTGTGGACATGAATCACATCGCCCACGCTGACCTGCAACACTTGCTTGCCACCCACGCAACAAGACAGGTGCGCTGTGTTCTCCTGACACCTGGAGGGCTGGAGACATCCCATGAGCACCCTGCCTAGCCACCAAGGAGCACTCCTCAATTTCTTTCAATGCACACAACAAGATGTACATAACTATGGTTCACCTTTCCCCAACCTGGTGCCATCCAGGTATTTTGGACTACAACCCCATCAGCCCCAACTAGTGTGTGGCTGTTGGGCAGGGATAATGGGAACTGTAGTCCAGCAAGATCAGAAGGGCATCAGGACAGGGACAGCTGGGGGAGTGCTCTCCTCTCTATCCTTTCTCTCCTTCTTTCAAGTCGTTCCCTTCCATTACCAGAGGACATGCCCTCGCCCTCAGGCTAACGATTTAGGAGACTATTTTGTTCATTGAACTTATATCCCACCTTTCCTCCTGAAGGAACTCAGGGCAGCAAAATTGTCCACCAGCTGATTGAGAAGGTTCATCAGCTAGGAGCATCAGTCCCTGTCCCTAAAGATCAGAAAACATTTCAGGCAAGGAGAGTCATCGGCTCTCCTCAGATCCCATAATGTGAAGCATAGGAGCCAACTCTTAAGAGGCCAAGGTCACTTCAGTGCCCCCAATAAAATATTTTGATGGGCATTGCCATTCAAATGGTGTGCACTCGCCATGTCTTGTGATCAATTATGCAGGGTGGGGCTTACCTGAGCCCCCACAATATTTTATTCAAGTTGGCTCCCCTAAGAAGGCTGCATGAATACCATCAAATGGATTTGCTCAGCTTAATTTGGGGTCTTCTGGGACAGATTTTACTTTTGAATAGTCTTCGCTTTCCCCGTCAAACATTTGTTCCAGAAAGTTTCTAGGCTCAGGAATTGTAGGAAGAATCATCTCTTTAATCCGTTTCCGGTAAATGAGAAAAATGACAGTCAGGACAGCCACACATAACGGAGCGAGAATGTATGGGATATATAATGTGTGGTCTCTCTCATCCCAGTCCACCACCTCGCTCCAATCACTGGTCCAGATTTCCCCACTACTGTAGAACTTTGCTCTCACTCGAAAAGTGTGGTGTGCCTTAGGCTTCAGACTAATTGATATATTAGTATTATGAGTTGGCTGTATGTCTGGTCGTCCAGAGTTATTAATTTCTACTTCATAGTTCATGTTGCTCCATAGGGATGGTTTAGTCCAGTTCAAAAAAACACCTCCATTGTTCTTTGTGATGTTTACAATCGATGGAGTCTTCAGTCTGACTGGAAATCTGCCTTTTCCCGACATTTTGCTAAGGATACACACAGGTTGAATGTCCTTGGAATTGCCTTGTAATGAAATGCTAAGTTCTATCCATTGATATTTCAAGTCAAATGCACATCGAAAGGCACCACCTTGCTTTGTGTAATTGGTGCATGGCTGTTCTCTTCTGAGTTCTGGGATCCACAAAGTCAAGCTGTAGTTTGCGTCACGACTTGCATTCTCTCCACGAAGCCATGAGCACTCCAGGGATCTCTCCATTTGCCAAACACAGCTGACATTAACCGCTCCTGTACCTGGAACACCGTTTTGTGGAAGAGAGATATTAAGCCACTCTCCTTTCTGGCTCTGTTCTTGCTGACATTTCGTTCTGACTCCGAAAACAACTTCTTTACCCAGAGGTACCTGCACTGTCCGGGAGTGGTTTGTATGAATACGCTCCACGTCCCAAACTCCATCGGTCGTTATAGCACTCTGATACTTTACATCGCAGGCCCCTTCCATTCTTACAGGAGTCCACACCACATCCAGCTGGCAGCGTGTTTCATTGAGGGTATAACTCACGTTTGATGGGCGAGGAAGAGTCAGCGTGGCTCCTCTGACAGCCCCAATGAGGGTGACAAGCAACAGCACCAGTGTCCCCATGAAGTTTCCCTGCCACATCTCATCTCCTGATCTCGACCTAGGGCTGGCTTTCATAGGAAAGACTGCTGGCGGGGCTTCCGTTCATTGACGCGTTAGCTGTGGTTCGCTCACCTGAGAGATACAGACAGGGAAGACAGGAAGTCATATATAACAGTTCGATGGAAGCCATTACTTTCAAAGGCATTTCCTTGGAAGTGACTTCAGCGGAATCGAACCATACATTATATGTACTTGGCTTCACTTATCCCAGCTTTCAACTGCAGTGACTGGAGATGGCACTTTGGGTGTTGGCTGGCTGCGTGGGTGAGAGACTGACGTCATGGTTTGTGTTGAGCAATGAGGCGGAAGGGGACAAAACCTCTGCAAAAGTTGCTAAATCTTGCTGCAATAACGCAGCCATCTAAATGAGCATCAGTCAAAAGCACAAAAGGAGGCATACTGGGAAGGTAGTGCATGAGAGATGTTCAACACGCCAGAACAAACGAGGCCAGTGGGTGCTGCTGGGTTTATTGACAAACACGAGGAGCTGTTGATATGGTGTAGTCCACTAGAGAATCAGCAGGCAACGCTCAAGATATTCTAGGCTGGGATAAACGAATACATTTGAGATATAGGTGTGCCTCTTGCAAACTCAACAATTTGGACAAATATCCCTTCTGTCCAATAGCTGGGCCTGTCTGCTGATACCGCCACATAAGGCGGCCCTCCAGACTGGTGTTTTATTGTGAGTGTATTCTGTAAGATGTTATTGACACAAGAATAGCCCATTAGTGGGGGATTCATTCTGCAATGTGTCCCCAATGCTAACACATTATTAGGGTCTGGTGGAGCTATAGCGCAACAAGAGCAGGACAAAAATAAACCAGAATATTTGTGCTTTAAAGGGTTACGGGGTGTTAGCAAGAAACTACAGGGTGTGCACTATTAGAAATGAAGCTGTGTGACCACCCCCAACACTTTTACAGGTGCAAACAGTATTAAAAGTGGGATTGCAATAGCGTCATGAACACAAATCAGCATGAATGTGCAATAAAAAGGATGTCTGGAGGAGCCCAAAGATTCTCGTACACATTATATAGCAGATGCAAATGTTAAACAAACACACATTATAAAATGTAACATGGATGCACAAATTTCAGGCTTGCCAGATCTACTCCCATCTTTTGCTAAAATGCCAAGCGCTACCAACCAACCAAATGCAAAATACAGGCAGCTGGGATTATAGAACAGGATGCCTTTGATCATATCCTGAGCCTAGGAATTTGCTTTCACTTCCAGAACTGAACTAAGTTCACAGTCCTTTCCGACACAGAAGTCCACTCCTGGTTACAAGCCCCCCATTTTGGCAGCCTAAGAACAAGTCATTTTGTCATTACAGTGGTTCAGCAATTGAGAGACAGAAACCTTACTGGTTTTCTGCAATACCAATAAGGCATATTCCAGTATCTCTTTGATTGATACACACCAACTTGTATGTAGCACAAAAAATGTAGTTTTTCTCCATCCAGTATGCTGCTTTCAGTCAAGAGTGATTCTAGATCCTGCTGCCCACAAGGTGTGTCTGTGTGCTTTTGAAAAAATCCTTTTCCTCCCTGCAAATGCCCCAGAACAGGGGTCTGCAACCTTTAAGACAAAAAGAGCCGCTTGGACCCGTTTCCGAAGAAAAAAACAACTGGGAGCCGCAAAACTCGCCCTTATAAAAATAACTTTTTTGTCACTTTTTTATTATTTCTTTGTTTGACCCCTCAGAATTACTCCTCCTCATAGAAATAAACGTTAAATTAACAAGTTACCTTTTTGTGTGTGTGTGTTCTTCACTCCCCTTCAAAACAGTGACCAGCGTACATGCCCCCTTTCAATGCAGTGACCAGCGTACATGCCCCTTACAATGTAGCAGGCGGGCGGGCGGGAAGGTGACGTCGGACGGTGTGTGACTAACGCACGCACCACCCCCATGCGACGTCACAGCCAGTACAGTGCCCGCCACAGTGGGGAGTGTCGGGGCGCACAATGCGCCTCCTCCCCTTGCAGGTATCCACCCCGGAGCCGCAGCAAAGGTGTAAAAGAGCCACATGCGGCTCCGGAGCCGCGAGTTGCAGACCCCTGCCCCAGAAGAAGGATGTGGAGGTTGTGATATTGATATACGCCCACATCATTGAGTAGTTGTGGATACATTCACCTGTTTTTAAATGGACAGGCTGTGGGGTAATACAGAATCAATCTGCAATCAGCTTTTATTTCCAGAATGCAATGAGCTTCTGAAGACACACTTTTCGCAGGCAAAAAATATGCAATAGATCTAGACAGTGTGTGGACCATGTCTGTGTGTGGGGGGAGACAAGTGCTCAGTCTCCATTGGTTCTAGAATAAAAATAAAAATAAAATGTGTGTACAAAGAGTAGATCCTGATTTGCCCACCTCTGCTCTAGAGAAAGATTCTATCCCTGTATGCACATTGAAATTCTTAAGACTATTGAAGAGCATCTTTTTAATAATGGCAGAATATCAAAAGGAGAAAGGACACTAAGCTCAAATATCAAGGAATACAGTGGTACCTTGGGTGAAGAACTTAATTCGTTCTGGAGGTCCATTCTTAACCTGAAACTGTTCTTAACTTGAGGTACCACTTTAGCTAATGGGGCCTCTCGCTGTCACCGCACGATTTCTGTTCTCATCCTGAAGGAAAGTTTTTAACCCGAGGTACTATTTCTGGGTTAGCAGAGTCTGTAACCTGAAGCGTCTGTAACCTGAAGCATCTGTAACCCAAGGTACCACTGTATTACCTATAACAGGTCCACAGTTCTTCTCTGACGGAGGTAGAAAGCGTCAAGAAACCTTTCTGTTTGAGCAGGTATTGGGTGACAGACAGCAGCTGATTGACGCTGTGTTTTTGCATACCACCCTCAGCAACACATTTTTACATATCTTATGAGGCAAACTGCACATGTTGCTGGAGAACAGTGATAAGATCTCCCCATTTGTTTACTTTTTACTTTAAAACAGCTCTGCCCGTATGCACAGCTGCAGCCCTGGGAGAATATGTGCTTTAACTCTTTCCCCCTTGCCATTTCCCTGATTTGAATATAGCCCGCCTCCTGGTTGCCCCATGGCAGGGAAATGTAGGCTTGTGCAATTCTCTCATCCTATCACTGTCATCTTGATTAATTTCATGTTTTTTAAAAAAATAAATAAATCAGGAAAACAGCATGGTGAAAAGCGAAACACCCCTCTCTCCAGATCAAGCTTGGTGTTCCTTTCATCTGCTTAACATTAAAAGAAGATATGGATCAGATCACTAATCTCCACCACCACATGTGGTTTGACCTCGCTTCACCAGGACAGAGTGAGCTCTAACATAATGTGTCAAAAACACATTGCAGGAATTTCCAGTCTGTTTATATCCACACCATACTTTTAAATAAATCACTCTTATACCATTTTAACAGTTATCCTGAGAACTGTAGTTTGTCAGAGGTGCTCACCTCACTGAGCTACAGTTCCCAGGATTCTCCATGAAGAGCTCAGGGCAACGTAAATTCTGCGTAGATTGTTTCGTTATGACGTTTAATCACTAGGCTTGGTTTCATCTGGCTGGAGTCAGGAGTTTCCTGGCGTTATTCTGTTCTCAAGATAAAAATTATTGTCTCACTTCCTGACTGGTGGGTCCTCTAAGCTTTCCATGCCAAACTGGGTAGTTTTCAACCACTTTATCCTCACCTCTGTCCTGTGAATTTGAAGCACAGTGAACTTCATGACCGACAGAGGATTTGAATACAACTCTTCCTGATTCAAACTGAAAGCTGAGCTTGGTCAGTCCTTGTAAGCAAATGTGTGTGGGTGTGTTTATGTCATTGTGGCACCTGAAGTGAATTTGAAAATTGCACAATCCAAGGATTGTAGTTTGTTAAGGGTCCTACGCACAGACGGAAGAGTCAAGCTTATTTCTGATAGCAAACAACTGTTGATGGCATCTGCCTGTCTTGGGAGACAGTGAAGGAGTGCATCTTTGGAGGTTAGCATTGAAGAGTTACAGTGCCTACTACTGTGGGACCAGGCAACAGCCTCCCCATATCCCAACCCATATAAATAAAAGACCAATAAGACTGGTTTGGGGTCAAAACCAGCCACAACTTTAGCGAATACAGATGAAAGAGGTTTGGCTTGGGCATGGGGCAATCTACTGTATTTTTCCATGTATAACACCACCCCCGTGTATAAGACCCCAAATTAAGGAAATGGGTAGTGATTGCTCAGAGTTGTTAAGCTTTTTTTGGGGGGGGGGATTGCCGCCAATCGCTCACCCACCTGACCGCCGCTGCCAATCGCATGCTTCACCATAGCTACCAATCGCCTGCCCAATTGCCGCAGCAGCAGCTAATCATCAGCAGGCCTTGACTCAGCCACCAATCAACTGCCCAATCGCCGCTGACAATCTCCTGCTCTGGGCTGCCACCAATCACCCATCCCTCCTCTGCACTATCTGTGTATAAGACGACCTACAATTTTAAACATTTTTTAAAATAAAAAAGTATCATATTATACACGGGAAAATATGGTAAATACTTCCGGCCCGCCTGCTGGAAGTGACGCGTGGTCAATCCAGGCGGCGGTTCCTAAGGTGACCATCCAATAGGGTGACCCCTGCAGGGACCGCCATCTGCAGGAGTGCCTTCGGCCCTGGCCCCACCTGGGCACACGGACATGGTCACTCCCCCCAGATCTCTTTAATGGGATACCCCAGCGTTTGGAGGGGCAGGTGGAGACTACAACCTCCCCTCCATCCAAAACAAAGGATTGCCCCAATGCCCAACCAGTTGTGACAATTTCTATGAGGTAGGCAAAACCACCAGGTCAGTGCCAATTAGCCTGGTGGGCAAATTCCTACCCGGCCCCTTAAAGGACGGCGACCACTGTAGCCACAGCAAAGTCATTGACTATCAGCTTAAACCGACGGTAGGTGGGCGGGGGAAACCAGCGAGGGAAGGAGCAGGTAGTGCCCCAGGTGCGGGCTGCTTAAATGGGCAAGGGGCAGATCTGAGGGAAGCCCAACATCAGCTCCGTCAGCTTTGCCCTGTCACAGCCCAAGTCCCAGCCTGCACCCCACTGGCCAAAGCAGGGTGCAGGCTAGGATCTGATTCCCGATAGGCGGCGGGGGCTTCTAGTTCTAACATCAGGGCCCCAGGGAAGCCTCTGCCGTCCTGCAACACCACCGCACCAAGAGAGGTGAGCGGACTTGCATAAACTGCATTGCTGTTGCATATGGGACTTTTCTCACTCAATATACAGTTTAAAACAAAATACAGTTCAGGAAGGGGAAAGGAGGGAGTGTTGGCTGCCCTCCAACTTAGTTTCCTGTATTTTGCACGCACAGCAGTGGCAGCAAAAGCAAAACAAAACCCAGAAAACTAAGGGTTTTTGCTTTTTGTTTTTGCAGGGGAGGGAAAGCAGCCAACACCAGCTGCAGATCCAGGGAGCTGTGAACGCTCAACATCTGGGAGAGAAGCACACGTTGCACTTAAAAGCAGATCAACTGAAACGCAGGAGGTTTATTTACGAAGGGGGAGGGGGAAGGAGTCAAGAGCAGGAGAGCAGAGGGAAGCAGAAGACTTACTTGTAAGTCAGCCCCACCGTTTAAGCACACGCGGGAATGGAAGACTTTGCTTGCTGGTTTCTCCTTGCCTTAAGGAGCGGAGTCAGGGAGGGGAAGCCAGGAAGCAAGGCTGGAGAGGAAGGCCTGCCTTTTGCTGGAATTCTTAGTAAAAGGGAAGTGCATGCAAGACTTTGCTTGCTCATCTCTCTCCACAGCTGGAGGAAAAGCTTCAGGGGCTCAGGCCACAGCAGCTGTGGGGGCATGGAGGCGGCAATCGTTTCATCTTAATTCCTGGGTGGGGGGCTAGTTCTGCTTTTAAGACCCTATTATACTAAGGCTGGCAGCAGCAACAGATTTACATATGGGCTGAGCAGGCATATGAGCAGATTTACATATGGGCTGAGCATAAATGAGGTATGTGTTGGGGGGGGGGGCTTGGCTTCTTGCCATTTTCTTTTCTTAAGAAAACAGGCAGAGTTTTCTGTCAGAGCCCAGTTGCGCAGTAATGTGAAGCACATGACGTATGTGTCTAAGACTGTGTAACAGTCACACAAGTGCTAGCTTACTGTTGAGTAAAGTTCGTGGAAGCTTTAAAGCTCCTCAGAATCAAATGGTAAAGTCAGCTATGAAGCAATACAAGGGCTCCAATCGCTGCCTATCATTACAGCACACATTCTGAGAGCAAGTGAGGACTCATTTACATGTCGCTGTGAATCGCAGTAATACTTAATTGTGACTTTTTGCAAAAATTAAAACGAGTAAGCGCTATGAAAGCGGCGCTAATAAAAGAAAACAAGAAGTGGAACGGAAGGAAATACTCAAAACATATACAGTGGTACCTCGGGTTACATACGCTTCAAGTTACATATGCTTCAGGTTACAGACTCCGCTAACCCAGAAATATTACCTTGGGTTAAGTACTTTGCTTCAGGATGAGAACAAAAATCGTGCAGTGGTGGTGCAGCGGCAGCAGGAGGCCCCATTAGCTAAAGTGGTGCTTCATGTTAAGAACAGTTTCAGGTTAAGAACGGACCTCCAGAATGAATTAAGTACTTAACCTGAGGTACCGCTGTAAAGCCAATCACATCATATGGCCTGGAACATCAGGCAGAAGCAGCCCTACACTACCCCTCAGATACAGAACATTTGTGTTTACAAACAGAAGGAAATCAAGTAGATCAGTGTTTCCCAAACTCAGGTCGCCAGCTGGTTTTGGACTACAACTCCCATCACCCCTAGCTAACAAGACCAGCAGTCAGGGATGATGGGAGTTGTAGTCCAAAAACAGCTGGAGACCCAAGTTTGGGAAACACTGGACTAAATGATCCTCAGGGTTCCTTCCAGCTCAAGGATTCTATTATTCCACCTCTCTCTCTCTCTCTCTCTCTCTCTCTCTCTCTCTCTCTCTCTGTCTCCAGTCTTTACTGAGCATTTGTTCTGATCTGTTTGCAATGAGGTTGTACCGCAATGAGCATCCATCACACATCCCTCCTGATCTGCCTGCAAAGTGTTTGCACATCTTCTCGTTAATTGTTTGCTCATCCCACACATTTCAGTACATGTCCTCATCAGTTTCCTAACTGCAAACAAAACACCTGAAAAGTTGATTTGTTGCACCAAGCTGACAGAACTCTTTAATCCACTTTAATTGCACAAACATAAAACCCTGGCATCCTCTTGAATCCCTCTTCCAAAGCATTGACAGTCTGGAGGCGACCTTACTTTTGAGTAGGAAACATTTCCGCGTTCCCTTGTGTTTTGAAACATGGATGTGAAAGGTTGCAGCACTTGCCTGGGTTTTCTTTGACCAGTTAGCTGGAGTGCACTTTTCAAGTATGTGCTCACCAAGACTTCTCAAACTATTTTAGTCTAACCACAGCCTGGAAACACAAACCAAGTCTTGTGCAGCCAGGAAGTTTCTTGTAGTAGCAACAGGTAAATCTTGCCGCTCAGTGCCAGGCAGACACCCAATGACAACGAAGCATGACCACAAATCATCTGCAGCACGCTTCCAAAATATAATTATGACAGCTTTTCTAAACACACTGCCTAGGTAGATGAAGGCACTGCTGAAGTCATCTATTGATTTAAAACCAGCTACTGTACAGGAGTATACAAAACACAGGTCTTTAAAAGAGCCAGATTGTTATTACCTGGCTATTATCTGTCCAAATGCCGGTTGTTGAGTGTCCCCATGGGGAACAGGGGGGCAGTCCTGCAGGCATGTGATCAAGATCTCAAGTGGAGCATAGACAGATTTGCTGAAGCTACTTTTGTCAGTCCAAAGGTTAAAAATATACACAAACTGAAAGTGAAAACCACAGTGATGGTAGGTGTCACAGGTTCCAGCCACTTGAGGACAAACAGTGGCTGCTGTGTGTCATTTAAAGCCATAATGACCATTTCATGTCAACTAACCAACTCAAAGACTCTTCTGATCATGACTCTCCTTATGATCCCTGGACAGTTCCATGATTTTGAGGGCTATTGAGGACATGTGTGACTGCCCTATCCCTAAAATTGATGAGCAGTGAAGAAAGGCAAGTACAGTGGTACCTTGGGTTAAGTACTTAATTCGTTCTGGAGGTCCGTTCTTAACCTGAAACTGTTCTTAACCTGAAGCACCACTTTAGTTAATGGGGCCTCTTGCTGCCAGAGCACGATTTCTGTTCTCATCCTGAAGCAAAGTTCTTAACCTGAGGTACTATTTCTGGGTTAGCGGAGTCTGTAACCTGAAGCGTCTGTAACCTGAAGCGTCTGTAACCCGAGGTACCACTGTAACAACTACAATAACAGCAAGATGATGATCATCAACAACTACAACATCTCCAGCCTTCAGTTTCACCTCTGCTCCATAGATTCCTCTGTTCTTGGGAAGGTTAGAAGAACCACAGAACAACACAAGAAAGCCCCTGGTGGAGTTGGCCAATGGCCCATCTAGTCTAGCATCAAGTGGCCAACCAGATACCCACAGAAAATCAGCAGTCAGGACTTGAGCACAAAAACACTCTGCCCTTCTGCAGCTTCCACCAGCCAGCATTTAGCAGCATTACTGCCTCAGACCTTGCTGTCATGGCAACTAGTGATTGATAGTCTTCTCCATGAATTTTCCTAATCCTCTTTCAAAGCCATCCAAGTTAGTAGTCATCACTACTTCCTGAGAGAGAGCACTGGTCTTCCCAAGAGCCCCAGACAAAATAAGAATCCCTCCATTGAAGTGGACTCAGTTGTATTGGACTCCAACTCCCATCAGTCACAGTCAACATGGCCAATGGCCAGGGATGATGGGAGTCATAGTCCAGCAGCACTGGAAAGGCAGCAAGTTAAGGAAGGCTGAGTCCCCCACTCTCCCCCAGTCTTCATCTAGTAGAAAAAGTGGGCCGCTTCCAGGAAACACATGTCGTCCACTTAACTGGAAAAGCTTCACATGTGCTCAGTACAGAGGTACCTCAGGTTACAGATGCTTCAGGTTACAGACGCTTCAGGTTACAGACTTCGCTAACTCAGAAATAGTACCTCGGGTTAAGAACTTTGCTTCAGGATGAGAACAGAAATTGTGCTCTTGAGGCACAGCGGCAGTGGAAGGCCTCATTAGCTAAAGTGGTACCTCAGGTTAAGAACAGTTTCAGGTTAAGAATGGACCTCCAGAATGAATTAAGTTCTTAACCCGAGGTACCACTGTACCATGAAACTTTCCCATTGCCCTTTTCAGGCTTTCCATCATGCCTTGTATTTGACAACACCATTCTTATATTAATATATAATGCTGAGCACTATTCAGCTCATTCACACCCACAGTAGCTCTGAGGAGAAGATAAATACTTTTAAGCACATTTTCCAAATGGGGAAACTGAGGCTGGGGGGTTCTTTCTCACAAAAGATGCAATTTGCATATGAATGCTTTTGGAGTGATTCCTATGCAAGCAGAAACCAGGCACCCAAGTGGCTCTCTCGGAAAGAATCCTGACAGGAGAAATGATCAGGAATTCAGAACCCTCCTCCTCAAGAATTTCATGTGGGTGCTTAGTTTCAGCATCACATTAGCCAAGGAAGTTGCTTTAGAGCAGGGCTTTTGTTTTGCTGTCATGGCCCCAGCCTTATAGAACAGGCCACCCAAAGAGTATCCAAGCTAGCAATCATTCTGTCAATCAGTAATGCATAATAGGCTTGGAGAACACCTAAACTTCAGCTCCCCTCCTCTTTCTCCACCACTTGCAAAACCACACTTGTTTATTTACATTGTATCTGTGGGGACTTTTAATTGTAACTCACTCAGGGAGCCAATCTTATCTGAAAAGCTGGGTATACAGCGGTACCTTGGTTCTCAAACTTAATCCGTTCCGGAAGTCCATTCCAAAACCAAAGCTTTCCAAAACCACGGGGCGCTTTCCCATAGAAAGTAATGCAAAACAAATTAATCCGTTCTAGACTTTTAAAAACAACCCCTAAAACAGCAATTTAACATGAATTTTACTATCTAACCAGACCACTGATACATAAAATGAAAGCAATAATCAATGTACTGTACTATGAAATAAATAAGACAGTATTGTAGGTGATAAAAATTAAAATTATTTCCCCCCCTTACCTGTGCTGATGATAGTCATTGTTTGGATGGGGGGGGGATTATTCATTTCCACAGTCACACAATCAATCAATCACTCAATCAGTAGCTGAACAGAGTTCCACACAGTCGCAAAAACAAATTAACTGAAAAAGCCTTAAAAACAAAAAAATGCAAAATAAATAGCAAGAACAAAAATGCCAAACTTAATTCGTTCTGGAAGTTCATTTGACTTCTGAAATGTTCGAAAACCAAGGTGCAGCTTCTGATTGGTGCAGGCGCCCCGCCGACAGCCACATTGGATGTTCGACTTCCGAAAAACATTCAAAAACCAGAACACTTACTTCTGGGTTTTCGGCGTTTGAGGACCAAGGCGTTTGAATACCAAGGCGTTTGAGAACCAAGGTACCACTGTAATAGTTTGGGCCCAGGCTACCTGAAAAATCATATTTCCCTATATGACCCTGCCCAGGTACTAACATCCTAAAGTGAGCACCTTCTTTCAGTTCAATCAACATTAGTGGCATGGTTGATGGTGGCATGAAAGCATAGGTGCCAACCCTGGGGCTGAGGACATGTTGGCCCCCCAAAGTATGGGGGACGGGGTTGAGCTCCCCCCCATCTTGAGGGGCCAGGTATTGGCAGGCCTTCCTGTGGAAACTGGGCCCTACTGGCCTCCCTATGGTGGTTGCGGGCCTTGGCGGGCACCCCACAGTGGTGGTGGGATCAGACCTCCTCATGGTGGCGACGGGCCTCAGCAGGTCTCATGGCCTCCTCCCACTGTGTGTGACATCGTACATGTGTCTCACATGTGTGGCATCATGCGTATGTGACAAGCTCCACCCAATG